GCAGCCAGAGATCAATGGGTTAATTTAATTGCCCTCGCATGTGGTGTATTGTAGCAGGGCAATTTGCAGAGCTTTATAAGGGAGTCATGCCGTTTTACTGTGCTTAAAAGTGCAAAGAGATAGCAAGGAGGCAATGAAATAAGGGAAAGACCAAAGTTCAGTACTGTGTGTTTGGTGACAACTAAGCTGCCAGTTATATACAAATGATATTGTCACAGTCAAGCTCGAGAAAGAGCTGTCACTCTATCCCGTGTAATGACTTACAAATGACTGATTGTCTGCCTAAAGCTATAATCATGTGATGGATAACTGAAACAGAAGAATGCAATCGCTTTATATTAGAGTGACAAATTTAAACTACTGACTTTACTGACAATCTGTTTTGACTTGTATTACTTTGAAACTACTACAATTTCTTTAAAATTTTAAAAAAAAGTTGTCATGGCAAAATCACCGCCAGTCTTTATAGAGTGCACACATGGCTTTATCTGACCATCGTTTCACCAACTGTAACAATGTGCTACCATTGTTTCGTGCAAGATTGGAGCGACATTGTAAGCAAGCCATTAGTTCCCAACCCAATTATAATGTATAGGATGTTTATCAGATTTTGTGGGTGTGGTTGATTCTTTAAGCAACCATTTCAGACGAGCAGAGAGACTTTTTGCTGAAATTATGTGCATACGTTTAGGAGTCTGTTTTATAAGGGGTGGGGGGTAGTGAAGGAGGACATGCAGAGGTTTGGTGTGACAGGGGTAGGGTGGGATGGAGGCAGATGATCCACTGTAACAAACCCTAGAATTGTGTATGTATGATCCTGATTAGAAGTTGAGAGACTTGCCTTTATTACAAATACACAACACTATGTTTACTAAGGATAGATTGTTAAAATCAACAAGTAAAACAAGTTATAATCATTTAATCAGGAGCTATCTACACTGACGTGTCTCACTAAAGACCTGAATCTATTTTTTTTTTCATTAAGCTGTTATAAAATTTCATCTACTGTCCTTTGTTCATGCTGGCATGCTTAATCCTCCACTGGAACAAATTTAGGACATTTGTGACTGTCCATACAAGCATTTGCCCAGTCTTACCTGAACAAATAGACTGATTCAATACAGTATTACAGCATATGTGTTTGACTGTTGAAACGATCATTCCTCTGCCCCGCGTGTTGAATTTTATTGCCTTGTGCATTAAAAGAGGCACTTATCAGCTGACAGATAACGGACAATCAGCACACTGTTGACACAATTCATAAGACCCGTTTAGGAGAAAGGATTGTCAAACAAAGGCTTGTGTAGGCAAACACACTCTTCAGTTGAGGATAACTGCAGGCAATAGCTGCGAGAACCCCTAGGGAAACAAACCTGAAGAACAAAGAAAGTGTTGCATTTGGAACAAGTTGACCGCGTCTGATTGCTCTGCTGACAGTCAGAAGCCGTCTGCAAATTAAATTTACACAATTTGAGCTGCAAACACTTAAATTTAATCACTGAATATTTATTGAGTGATGCTAAAAGATTTAAAAAAACAACAACACTATCTGTGGTGCTTGCTTTGTGCAGTCTACTTCATTAAGACTGGTTGGCTCCATTTAGAGCAATGAGGTCTGGACTGATAGGATTTCTGCTGCGTGGTCCCACACCGCTGCTGGCCTCTGGGGCTTCACAGACGGTTGCAGTTCCCTTCTTGTCCTGGAAAGTATGCAAATACTACCTGTTTAACCGGTTACCACTTTGACCATACTTATCTAGGGAAATTAAATGCTGCCACGCCTCTGCGCATGTGTGTACACATGCATCTGCACGTCTCATTCGCTTTAATGTGCATCATAATTCTCTTGATGACCCTTTCACTTCACATTTCAAACGAGGTCCAAACTAATTAGCAAAGGGAGCTGGGTGTCTGTTAGTGTAGCTTTAAATCCTCTAAAAAGAGCAGGAACAGAGACTTTACATTGTTCACTCTGCAATGTGCTCAGCTGTCCAAGGCACAATCTACCAAATTGCACATAATGGTGCATATTCTGGAAATACCACAGTCCCTTATGTCACAAAGAAACCCAGAATCCTTTTTTTTTTTACATTAAATGGCAGCATCTATTCTGAAAATGTACGTGAGGACACACTGCTGATAGAAAAAAAAAAGGAACAACACAGAAACCTGAATACTTTGAATGCATATGCAAACTTTATTATTTTTATAGGACAGCGAGACAAGCGCTGAAAAGGAGGGATTATTGCAAATCGAGATGACATTCGTAACAGGGAAGCAGTTTCTTCTGGAATGTGATTTCTCCTCACAGTTTACACCTCGTTTCTGGCTGTGTGCTAAAGTGTCAGCATCTGTGTTCCCACTCCAGAAACCAACACTAGGTGTAATGAGAAAAAAAAAAAAGGAAACAGGGAGAAAACAACAAAGGCAGGACGGCAGATTGAATGAAGAGCGGCATACAAACAAAGGTTGTCACTAATAGAGTTTTATGAGCTCCAGACCTGCTGAAATGGAGTGTTGTGCGTGTGCAGCAGCTCTTATCGGCTCGCTGGCAGTAGGGCAGGGGAGGGTGAGAGCTTCCACACTTGCGATCCCTAAAAATGGTGTGATTCATTTTCCGCATGAGAAGGTCTCACAGGGGCGGCATCAGACCAGCCAGTCCACACAGATTTATGGACCATTAAAGCAGCAGGCCTCCTGACCACTATGCCACTATGGGGCTGGCTGCTAAGACACACTGCACCCTCATTCATGCTTGGCCACCACTCTTCATCACAGGCTGCTTCCTCATTGTTCATCCCTTCATCAGCACCACTTTTACTGCCTCACATGAACTCCTCTCATAGTCTGTAATCCTGCTGTTCCTTTTGATGCAAAATGAATTGTTTACTGTCACCATTCTCACCTGCTCTTACCACCGTTTTCCCAATTCTTTCTCCCACTTTTGCGCGTTATTCTTTCCTTTCACAAAAAGGATAATTCCTTGAGTCGCTTGTTATATAGTCCAGAAAATGGTCCAGTACAGTTATGGAAATCTCTGACGGTGGTCCGGGCTAGCGTGTTGTTTTAGTCTAACAGTTATACAATCAGATTAGCACCATTGCAGGCACACAGACTAATGGGTCTGTATTTTCAAGGCATCCTCAATCAGCTGTTTCCGTGGTGATTAATGCATCTTGTTCTCGTCTCTCTCATTTGCTAGCTTTGCAACTTCATCATCCCTAGGAGTCGTACTGGAAGGGAAAAAAAATGGGGCAGAGTCTATGCTGCTCACCGGCCCTAAGAATAGCTCAGTGCGCAAGAAAACAAAGCCACAGTAACCTGAGCAGAAACTCCAAAGCATGAATGAATGAATGAATAAATATAATCACATTCAGATAAATCACTTCACCTTTGTTGTTGCTGGATGAATGAAATTTTTGCATTAAATGCTGTTCTCCAGCTTTTGTGTGTGTGTGTGTGTGTGTGTGTGTGTGTGTGTGCATACATATATATATATATGTGTGTGTGTGTGTGTGTGTGTGTGTGTGTGTGTGTGTGTGTGTGTGTGTGTATGCCATATATTAACGACACACTGAAAAACATTAAGACTCACATTACTGTCAGACAAGTATTCATTTTGACACAAAAACACTGTTACGCCACCACCAAGCCTGTTTGTCCAGTTTAAAGAAGAGGAAGAAAAGAGAGTGCAAGCTACTTTCGGTTGCTCCCTTATTCAGAAGGGGTTTCCACAGCAGGTAGCTCTGCATGTTTGATTTGGCAGATATTTTTTTAAAACAATTGATTTGCCTTTCCTGTTGCAACCTGAAAGGGATCTGTGGTCTCCTCCGGGATCAAACAAGTGATCTTGTGCTTGTTAGGTGAAAGCAGTGCATACTGACAGCTCTCCTGCATGGCAGGTTGGCTTTATGCACATTAAAATAAATAAATAAAAATAGAGAGGCTATTAGATCATTCCACAGAGAGCTACTCATGTATGCTTATGAAACAGAGTGGCTGGAATGAGTAAAGGTATCACCGTTATGTGAAAGTTACAGCTTGGTGTGAAGTCAGTTGGCCAGTAAAGCTGCACTCACCAGATAGCCAGAGATACAAAACCGAGCTGCCGGGCTTCCTGAAGCACACTTTTGGCTGCTAAAGTACATAAGCACAGGCATGTACATAAGCACAGCAGCTTCGTGCAAATATGGACTTTTAACACATGCACAGAGGAACACTTTGATTCTGCACTGGAGAGAAGCACATAAAATGCTTATCTTTTTTCTTCTTCTTCCAAATTCTTTTCTTTGCTTTGTCTGTATACTCAAGCATTACCCAGCATGTGTGTGTTGTGTATCCACGGGTCACATTAGCTCCTTGTATCATCGTTTACTCTAGGAGGGGCCCCATTGAGGGTCCGCTATCGTCATGAAGCTGGGTGTGGTGACACATCCTCTCTCTCCGCCCCGAGGTGTTTGTGCAGCCTGAATAACGCGGCAGTGCTTGTGCGGGACCCGTCCGGTTTCATTTCGCTCCCACACTTTAACAAATTAATTATTAATCCCATTGCTGCTTCACTGTTAATGGCACATTTTAATTCAATAAATCTGGTTTTGAAAACTACATAGATATATAAATATATTTTAAAAATACTTCCTATAGATTACGTGCAGCTGGTGATAGAAGTGAAAGCACATTGCACGATAGAAAAAAAAAATTGGATGGCGTGCGCGTTCGCGGAGTTCCAGCGCTGCGGCAGTTGCCAGGGGAGATAGGAGGGGAGGAGTTTTGATTGGCTGAAGTGGACCTGTTGCCATGACGACGGCGAGGGGTTTGGTAGCGTTGCCGTGCGCTGTGTGATCTGCGCGCTGCGTGTATGGAGGAAGCAGCTGCTGATCTGATCTCTGACATTGTGTGTGAGACAGACAAGACATCTGAATAAACTGCGCGCAGACGTGTCTTTAAACGCACCGCACCGAGGCACGCCGTGCATGATTGTGAGTAGCCGATTGTTTTTAAGTGGGTTGTAATTAAATAAGTGTTCGGCAGGATCCGGGCTGTGTTTCGAACAAGCTAAAAGTAAATGTGGTCAAGTGACTTTGCTTAGAGCAGCCAGCCAGCATGGCAAATCAAGCGACAGCATGTGGCCAGCTAGCTAATGTTAACGTTACTTCTCTCTTCTCCGGGCTTATGTCTTGGAGAGCATAAAGGGATATTACTTATAACACCAAAGAGTGTTTTGAAACATTCAAACAGATCCCTTTCTGCTCTTCCAGTTAAAATGTAATGCTAATGCTAGGCGGTATATGTGCCTTCCCCTGACCTGTCGAGCGGCTGCTAACGCTGCTCTGCCTGACGGTTGTTTCTCGGTGAGTTAAAGCTAGTAACATTTAGTGAACTTAGTGAAAATACGGCTAATTAAAACGGAGACAAGTTCCTTCGTAACAAACCCCGTGTGTCGGGAAATGTTGTGCAATACTCCGCGTAATTGCTCGTAACTTTGTATTCCTCGTTGTGCGTCTGACTTGTGGTTGCTTGTATGTGTGTGAGTGTGAAGTGTTTTAAGTGCTGTGTGCCTGTTAGTAGCTCCGGAGCATATCAGTTTTCTGTGCTAACAGCACTTTCAGCGTATCCTTTCCACCGATTTTGAGTCTCATTGTGTCTTTGAACGTCTTTCGCCTGTTTTGTCAGTCTGTAGTAGGTAGAAAAATTGAGCGACTTATTACTCCTGATACTGTTCAGACACATCTTCCCTGATAGCTATAAATAGTTGAATATTTCATTATATATATATATATCGACGGCACCAGAGGTTTGGAGGCTACACTGGCTAGCCACATGATGTAATGGATTATCACAAGATTGTCCCAGATACAGAGTGCTCTACAAACAATGTCAGACTGTAGGAAAAACATCTCTGCCTACTGCAGTTGGCTATAATTTATATTTTGCTGTTGAATAGACCTTTATATACTTTCATGTGTTGTTTCTGGTGTTTGTGTGTGATGTTTCCTACCTTGCTGCCTGTTAGCATTGCATTTACTGGACTGGACAAACCTCATCTAAAATTCATTATGTGCACTGAGGTTTTATTCGTATATTTGAAGGGGGGGAAATGTGATGGAGAGACAAGTAGACTGACATTGTTCCTTTCACTTTGCCTGACAGTTGTTAAAGCCCTGGTGATAAATAGAAGACAAAGACACCAGGAGCTTAAGGGACAGAAGAAGACAAAAAAGAAACAGATGTTGTCAGTCTGCCATTATTTTAATGCCAGAATCTTTGTGGTCATATTGTGGGGTCAAACCATCTGGTGTCTTTGTAAAACTGACATGTATCCACTCATGTATGTATTTGTGCAGAAGCCTCTGAAGGGTAAGCACTTTTGGATCCGAGAATAGACATTCATTACTATAAATAAGACCTGCTGTAACCCACTGATGTGGTTATTGCAATGTGAAATGGCTACATGTCTTCAGGGATCGAAAACACTGTCAGTACCTTTTGAATTATCTTTATATATGCACCATCACAAGGTTATTTGAGATGTTGGAATTGACACTATAGACAGGCTTTGTAAGAGGCAAAAGACAGGGGAAATGGGAAGGAGACTACTTAGTCTTATTTCTGCTCTTTTTGAATGGGTCTGCTAACAGTACGCTGTGTTTGAAAAGGTAACTGGTAGACTTACGAGTGAGATCGCCGTGAGATGACAATATGAAACTGAAATTTACAACTTGACTGCACGACGACTCGTTCATGACATTGTTTGGAATCTTTTGCTTGAACTTCCTGACGGTAAACTCTGTGGGTGTTTTGACAGCCTATGAAAGAGTCATTTAATGAAATAGTAACAAACGAAAAGATAGTCTAATTGATGCCCACATAGTCACATAGTTAAGGTATCAGGTCCATCTTTTGATTACACTAATAGCAGTTTTATTCACTTTTTTGGGTGCTGTTTTACACCAGCTGAGCACAATAGTAGACGCAGGGGTGTCAAATGTATCTCAAGCTCCACGCATACGCTCAAGAATTCCACACTTCATTTTCACAACTTGGTAACCACAGTGGTGTAAATGTCGCTCGAGTCTACTGTACTGATGGGAGAACAGGAAAGCACTCGTCAGAGGATGTATAACAATGAAGCAACGTCACTGAAAAGACCACCGCAGCACATTTTTTTGTTGACCGAGTTTCGCACGGCCAAATAAAATCTTACATCCATTATCCCAATGTGTTAAGTAGGGCTGCCACAAACGATTATTTTGATAGTCGACTAGTCACCGATTATTTTTGCGATTAGTCGACTAATCAGATCATCATCCATTGGACGTACAGCGTACAGCTTATTGCACCAGCAGCATCTGGTCTTATATAACTATCATTAGCTTACAGCTTGAAGTGTTTGTGCTAACTAAAAATAAAGACAAGATGGTAGTTTATTAATTTTTAATGAAATTTGCAGATTATTTCAGTGAAGTTTAATAAACTCCTTGCTTTCTAAAATATAACAGGACACCGGAGTATATTCTCCAGCGTCTCACACTTCTGACAATCAGCTGTCTGCTTGACAGTTTTAGCTGTGCAAAAACTATAACTTTAATCTCAGCCAAACCGATTTACTCAGGAACAAATAAAATACTAAAGAAAGCCAAACAATAACATTTTTAAGTTATCTAAGTGACTTATATATATGTTTAACCTGACTAGCGAAAGACGGCGGTGGGTTTGAAAACGATTTGCCGGGAGTCCGGTGCTCTCACGGTTTTAGTTAGCCTTGCCCCCGCCTAGCTAACGAGCTAGTGGGTAACAGACGTCTCCGAAAACGTCGGAGCGCTTTTGAAAATATGTGGTGTCTTGATAAACTGAGCAGATATTTGAGGTTTACACAGCTACATTCAAGCCTGAAAATATGTTAAACGTTTATTTTGTGCCCCAGAAAGAATAATAAGAGTAAAGTTAAAACTAACTAGCTGCCGCCATTGTTGACAGCTGCGCTATGAATTCTGGGACACAGCTTCTTCTTCTTCGGGGTTTAACGGCAGCTGGCATCCTTGTACATGCAGTGCTGCCATCTTCTGTTTCAGTCCGTTATTACACTCTTAAATCCTACTACCGGTACTCATTCCTGCGTCCTTTGTGATCTTACAAAGCTTCAAACGATGCGTCGACTATTAAATTAGTCGTCGACGATTTTAATAGTCGACATAATCGTGACTAGTCGACTAATCGTGGCAGCCCTAGTGTTAAGTATGACCGATTAAATGTAGTAATAAGGAGACGGCTTGGGCCTGTTCTGTCATGTGGCTGTTACCTTTTATCCAAACGAATGACACAACACGCTCAGTTTAAAAGTGCTGCTGCTGCCATGTAATCGGTCTTATCACAGAGTTGTGTACTTTGACCTGGAGCTGATGAAAGATTGTGTCCTCTGAAAAATCCACCATGTTCTCTATAGATATGCGAGCGGCTGTGGTTTTTGAATTCATTACGAAAGCTGACCCACGCGGCAGCAACTTTTTTGGGGGGATTGCTTAACGCAGAGTAAAGCTGGTTTCTCACGGATTGGCTTAATAGATTTGTGCTCAGAGATTTGTGACCTACTGTTCTCTGCAATCCCTGTCATTACCAAGTACTTTGACTTTTTACTGAACATTTTAAATAGTTGGTGCTCGGGTGCTGTATTGGAAAAAGCTGAACAACTGATAACTGGCAGAATAAGGAAGTTTGGTTTCTTGAAGTGACTGTGTTACCACGATGCTGCTGTTGTGTGCATATTGCAAAGTTTAATCACATTTGAAAATAGAATATCTAAATTTTAGCAGGTGTTCTGCATTTTTTGTTGTTGTTGATTGATTTAAAGCCTAAAGTAAGTCTCCAGTAGTTTCAAATTACTTCTTTGGACCATTTTTTTTCCAACTTTAACTTGTTCAATTAAACAAATAATTACTTGAGATTAGCCACTAATCAGTGACCTTGAGTTCTGGCTGTTGACAGTGGCCTGCCTGACTTTATGCTTCATGCAGTTTTGTAATGGATAGCTTGAGTGATCACTTAACCAGAGCCCCTGATTAGTCATAAAGGAGGGGCATCCCCAGGAGTATGCTGTGTGTTGTTGTTGTTTTGGGTCTGTCACATTCTTCTAATCAAACATAGGGGGCTAGCTCTGAAGTGAGTTGTAAATGTCAACACCTGAAAAGACATGTTTCCACTCACACGCCCACTCGCTCCTGTGGCCTTCCTGGTCATTATTTATTTTTTCTGTCCTATTTGGGTGATCAGCTTGTCTGCTCTTTGCGATGTTTCACATTATTTAGTCTCTCTTGAGAGTTCACCGTGCAGCTAAATGGCATCTATTTTTATGCCCTGAGCTTGGCACAGCTGTTTTACAAACTGGCGTCAGTGTTGTAATTAATGTCACAAGCTGGCAAAAAGACAAAACAGGTTGATTCTGCGTGATCTGAAAATCAGTTTTTCCCTCTTTAAGCGTCTGTTTAGACGTCGCATACTGGCAGCGGTTATCTCCTTCTCGCGGTGCCCCTCTGTCTACTCTACTTATTGTTTTACATCTCTTGATTGACTCTATGGTGAGTCGCCTCCCTCTACAGCCCCCCACCCCCTGACTGCTCCTTTGCCTGTCTCATTTCTGACTGTGTGGACTCGAGACACAGCCCATTAGGGCCCGCCTCACTGAAAGCAACAACTGATGTGGCTGTTTCCTTGATTGAGAGAAAGGAAGGGGTAAGGACGGCCGTGTCCTCTGTCACAGTGGCTCTTTGTCTCATTTGCTTAGGCAGAAATAAAAAGATTTATTTAATTGATACGACAACAACAACACAGGCTTACCAGCTTGTCTGTAAATCCTCACTAAGTATCATATATCAGTGTCAGTTTAAGTGTCTCAGAATTTCTACAACTGTAGCTTAGGTGTTTGGACAAAGTCAAATGTAAATGTCAAACAGACTGACCGCCTTTAAATAAGAATTTTATACTGGGCCGTGTACTTTAAATGACTCAATCATAGAATAATTGATGAGCTTGTATTACTAGACCAAATCTTTGCTCTTTCAAAAAGCTGCATCTCAAAAAGTAAACGGCATTGGAATAACTAGATTTCTACTATGCCCTTTCACCATCAAGAATGTATATTCATTGTTTATAATAAACGGTAAATGATTACACTCGGTAGTTTCTCTGCTGCTGAAAAAAGCAAGTATTTTGTGACTTTTCACTGACCATTTTAAGTAGTTGGTATTCAGTGCTCTAATGGAAAAGGTTGAATAAGTGATGATTGGCAGAATAACGAGGTTGTTCAGCACTAATTAAGATGCAGTTATTATAATACTGCCTAATAACAATACTGAGTCGATAGTAAACAACTCTTGGTGACTATTGTTGCTGTTACCATATGGTTCATATTTATAATTTGATGTTAAACAGCAACACATGGAAAGCAGAATTTGTAAAGTCTGTAATGTATAAAGCAAGAGGTCAGCTTTTTAAGTGAAGGGTTCAAAACTTCTTATATATGGAGCGGGCAGAGCTCAGTAGCTGTGTGCTTATATTTGTTTGCCACGTGTGTGTGCTTTGGTCGATTAAGTCAAATGGGGAGATTCAGTAAATATTTTCATTCTGCTGGAGCTTCGTGGTTGACATGGATATCTATCATGGTTTTGTCAGAGCCCAATAATGTTTTATTTATTTATTTTGTAAAATCAGGAAAGAAGTCTTTCCTCATTTGAGTTCCCCGTGGGGCTTTTTTGGTGTTTTCTGCGTTTCATTTGCAAACACTGTTGTATTTTACTGCACATAGAAAGTTTTCTCATACTCAAGGACTGACCCTTGACAATTATAGAAACGTTCTAATTTCAGCCGTTTCCTACAAGACCGTGGAGCTGTGTTTGCAAGCATACAGCATGAAGTTGTTTTTTGTTGTTGTTGTTGTTTTTTTGGTTTTTTTTTTAATATTTGAGAGGAACTGAGGTTGTTGTGTGTGTCGGTATGCTGAACTTACAGGCACATGACTGGAAAGATAAGGTTTCAGTGTTGGCTAGGGACTGGCATGTACTTTGGAAGGCCTCACCTCTGTTGACAGTCAAAGTGCAGTCTTGAGCGTTTGACTCTGAAGTTGTTGGAGGAGGTTAGTGTCACTGACGAACATGAACCGAGCCATTGCCCGGCCTTTTGATCGCTTGTTTTTCCCTGAGTGATTTCATTAGTTGATACATTAGGTCCAGCCAGGGTGTTTGCCAGCTATCTGTAAGCTACACGAAGATGGAACTCCTAGATTGGCCGAGTAAATACTGTTGCTTCAATAGACGCTACCTTGTAGCCTCGTGCTGCTCGATTTCACTGTTTTTGTCGTATAGCGGGCCTAACTGTCTCTGTGTGAAGTCTGAATTTGTTGTCTGAAAATGAACTTCCTCAACAGGCAGGAGGTGTTTCCTTCCCTCCCGGTCCTCTGTTTGAAAGTGCGAGGTGAATACTGAGCACTTCGGAAACATGACTAGAGCAAAAACAACTGCTCCTTTGTGCGAGCAGAGTGTGGGGCCAGTTGTAATGCTTTGTGCAAGCTTTTTCATTTGCTTTCACCTCGGACGCTGAGGAGATCCGTTAAAGTCTTTGACAAGTTTTAGTCAGAAATGTATCGTTAGGGCGTGCTTTAATAGTAGCCTAATTTACCTTTCAAAGTAATAGATTCTTTATTTATTATGACACGGTTTAACCCCCACCCTTGTAAAATAAAAGAGCAGGCCACTTGGCTAACCCGCTCTGGAACAGCCTCTCTCTCTCTGCCTGCTTCTCCCACTCTAACTCAGTCCCCCCTCCTTTTGTTTCATTCACATTTTTAGAGCTCCAGCCAGACTGGGTAGTTGCCTAAATATCAGTTAGGGTTTCGAATAACAGCCATCACAATGGGGCTTTGCGGCACACCTTTGTGTATCTGTTGTAGAGGTGTAACTGGTTTGTGTCAACTGGTTTGTTTCTTTGGAATAGGGTGTGGTGTCAGCGTATGAACTCGAGGCTGTTATCTATACAGAGGTTGTTTTTCCTTTTTCTTTTTGTTTTGCAGAGGAGAATCGTATGAAAGCAGTTTGCTTAACAAAACAGATTTTTTGGGAGCATAATTTCTGTGTTATATGAAGTAGGCCTTAATAGCTTAGTCAGTAGTGCCGTGACATCCAGGTTGGCAGTGGCCTTTCTCGCCGCTCTTTGTCAGACAGGTTTGTGGAGAACAGCAGCAGACTGCTGCTCTCAGCATTTTCCGCCTGTATTGATCTCCCCCACATTAGCCCTCTCTTCATGCACAGACATGAGCACAATTGCTTCCCTTACAGCATTGGCTGCCGTGGCAACTGAGTCCTAATTGTGAGATTCGCTCCCAGAAAACATCTCAAAGCAGTATCTCTGTATTTTAATGCCACTATCATCTCCTTTAAATTCCCCTGTACATATCTGACATCTCAACGGTTTGATTTCCCACTTAAAGCTATCTCCATATGTCTTTGTGTATTTTTGAATGGGCTAAGTGCTTAACAGGATAAAAGAGCAATTTGAAAGGGGAGAAAAATGTGCCTTGGCACCTGCTGTTAGCCTGCCTGTTTGCACATGAATATGATGAGGCTGGCGGATCGCACGGCTATTTTAACTTGCAGATGAGCCATCAGGTCAGCGCCATTGCAGCTTTGGTGTATTTTCAAGGATGAGTAGCAGTCAACAGGCCAGTCTGGCTTATTAGCTCCCTCTCCCCTCTCTGCTCTTTACATACTACTATCCCATTATTCAGTGGATTCCCAGCCGCCTCTCTTTGATGCCTTTTCATAAGAGCAATGATAACTGCAATCATTGCAGCAGCAGTGGTAATTGACCAGCTGCAGTCATGGTAAAACACTTCCTGTGTTTGGCTGGATGCACGACAGCCCTCTCATCCGTCCACTGTGCCTCTGTTGATATTCAAATGGCAAGTCATCAGGAGGAGCTATTTAAAAGAGGATAAGCTCTCTTTGGCACCCAGAGGCCCAGCTGAGAGGTCAAGTTTGGGAAGAAGAACTGAGGTGAAGCTCTGTTGTGCTTTAATGTTAATCCCTGATCTGATACTTTAGCTATATTACATCTTCTTCATGTCTCTCTGACATAAAACAGAATCGGGCTATCAAGGGTTTACAACCAACTGTGGCATATAAGTGGCCACACCTTTTAGTCAAACGAGCTGACGTATCTTTTTTTTTTTTTGCCACACCTTTGCTGACTTCTTCCCTCCTGTGACCTATATATTTATACTCACAAAAAAGGGCTTAGTTGTTGGTCAGCAGGCTGTTTTCCATTTAACTACATTTTAAAAAGACTGGGTTTCTTGTCATGAAATCCCCAAGTGTCCTTTCTATCACTCCTGCATAAGAACATACATAAATATTGAGAATCTGCTAAAAAATCTGCCCCAAATTGTTGCCGTTCACCTAATTTGTCTAAATGAACTAGATATTTGGCCCAAACATGGCTAAATGTATTTTAAGATGATATGTCCCAAAGAGCTTATCCTGAGAGAATAAAGTCAGTATAAACATAGTCTGTAATGCTTTTAGGAAGCATGAATAATATTTTCTTCTGAACATGTGCACTTGTCTCTCTGCTTCTTCATTTCTTTCTTGCTTGTTGACATATTTAATAACTTTGCTTTGCTGAGAGCTGTGATTCAGCCTAGATTGACGATGCCTTGCACAGCCTACCTTACTACCTCTAAGCCTCACTTGCCTCTCTCTCTGTCTTTCTCACAGGTCTAGGTCTCTCTGTCAAACCTTCTGTCACGCTCGGTCCTTTCAGAAAAGTCTTCTCCCTATTGTTATCTCTTTCTGGGTTGATGCTGCCTGACACTTTGCCTTTGGCCTGGAAAACTTATTGACTTGCTTCCTTTTTTATCTGTAATTTAAATCGCAGACGTTTATGTGATGCACTAGAGCAATTCAGCTGCGCTGGAATATCCACTACCCGGGGAAAGAACTGAAATCCAGAATGCATGATAAATCTAAGACAATGTGCTGTTATAACAGGAGTATATACACATACACTGAAATGCACACTTTTATTGTGTAAGAAATCACAGACGTCTAGGCCTAGCTCCTCTCCTTGGCTCGAACACCTAGCCCTGCTCTCCTTGTGTCATTTCTTTTCAGTGATTTGAATGTGCCAGAGTCAGCTCAGGGTGGGTTAATTATTTTTCTTATGGATTCTTGCTTGTGGGATTTCTGCTCTTAATTGAAGGGATGGCAGGGTTGTCATGGTGACACCCAGGACATAAAGCTTGTTGTGAGCTGACACGCGGAGTGATCTCTTTGTGCTCTTGGCCTCAACAAGCAGTTCGATTCAACATTATTCACATAATAACAAATCACAATAAGTACTGCACACAAACTGCTGCTTGTATTTTATGGGGACAAAATTTATTTTCAGATAATGTGATGCTTAGTTTAAATTTCCAGTAATGTAGGTTTGTCTGTAGCCCAGATCATTTCTCACTCGAGCTTCAACTTAAACTGCGACAGGAACTCTGGTGTTTAAGATAAAAGGCCTCTTCAGAGCTCATGTTAAAAAGTATTGATAAGTGTACTCAGGTTCATTTTGTTAATGATAAAGTGCTCTGGCATTTCCCCGTGCTCCTAAATGACTGACAACTCTTAGGCTTGTAGCCTCTTTACACAACTTAATATGCCATGCGACAAATGCAGACTTGATCCTGGCTGAATGTATTTCGGTCCGTAAGAGCTATCCAATCTGTAAGATGGAGTCCTTGCACTTATTCCTGCAGTCGCTGGCTGGTTTCATGCTCATTTACACATAACGAGCAGCTGGGTCTTGTCTGAAACGAGGTAGGCGTTGAGGAGTGGAGCCTTAAGTCAGTTCACTTACTTGAGAGGATGTCCTCGAAGGTCCTCACGTGGAGTCGAGAGGAGGAGGAGGAGGGGGGCTGAGAGCCTCTTGGTCCTCGGCAGGGATGGATGAGAGAGGCAGTGAGAGGGCCATGAATTGCAATAGAGGCCGACAGCAACAGGGGGTGTGCCCCCAGGGAAACTTAAGAAAACAAGGCCAACGCTTGGAAGAGCACATCCTTCCAAAATGTCACTTTGAGTTATTTCATACTGCAAACTTTGCTTTTAAATTACTTTGAAATCTTCCTTTTTTGATGGTAATTTTTTTTAAAAATGTACCTTTTTTGGTCTTGTCTTTGCTGCTTGATATTAACAACCTTCTTTTTTCTTTCTCTCCAGACCTCTTTGATTTAATGGGTCCAATTATTGGGATGTCACCAGATAAGAAAACGGAAATTCCGGGTATGCAAGAGGAGCGGGCAGGGCTCAGAGGTGTCTGCGGTGTAGGAACGCTGCCTGAGGCGGAGTGCGCGTCCAGTCCGCTGGCAACTAGCGTGGATCGTACCGGAGGCACCGAGGATGAGGAGCTCACTAACCTCAACTGGCTCCACGAGAACCTGCTTCAGAACTTTACTCTCGGGGGCCCCGAAGCTCAGACGAGCGGCAGCCCCCTCTTTGACATAGAAGGAGACTACGGGTCGAACCAGGGCCCGTCGTCCTCCTCATCTTCGTCACACAACAGAGGCAGGGAGAGGGATTCGATGAAGTCGAAACCACCTTTCTCATTTTCCCTGCTCATCTACATGGCCATCGAGCAGTCTCCCAGCAAGTCGTTGCCTGTCAAAGAAATCTACGGCTGGATACTCGAGCACTTCCCGTATTTCTCCAACGCTCCCACTGGCTGGAAGAACTCAGTTCGTCACAACTTGTCCCTGAACAAATGCTTCCGCAAGGTCGAAAGGAGCTTGGGAAAGGTAGGTCTCAAAGTGACTTCAAACTTTTATGCACGTCACTTAGATTTACAGTTATCCTTCTGTAGTTGTCAGCATGCATCTGTTTGATGATGTGACATTTACAGTTACAGTGGCTTTGTTTAGCACTGTTAGCAAACAGTGTGCTAGAGTGTGAAGCTGCCACATGGCTCATGTGACACACAGCTGCACAGAACTCTGACTCGGCTATGATAAGGGTGGAATCCAGTCAAGGTCAAAGATCCTCCTCCTCCAGAGGATATGCAAACACCGCACACCGAGATAGGACAATATCTTTAGAAACACGTCAAGGTAGTGCAGCTAGAGAGAAGCCTCCCACAATCTGAACCCACACTGCACAAAGGAAGCAAACGCGACCTTAAGTCCTGAAAGTGCACAAAGAACAATCTTTGTCTACCTGGTCCTGGCAGACATACACATCATTTATGGTAGCTTGTGTTTCTACAAGTAGTGGCGACAAATAACAAGGGGAAAAAAGAGAAGCTGGCCTACTCATGTTCACATGCTTGTAACAAAGGGAAGAACACATACTGCATATAGTGTGCACACATGTCTGTGAATTTGAAAAGTTAGTAAAGCTGTGAATTTACTCACTAACGGCTGTTATTACGGTTTAGTCTGAAAGGGGGTGTGTGTGTGTGTGTGTGTGTGTGTGTGTGTGTGTGTGTGTGTGTGTGTGTGTGTAAAAAGTGTGGAGAAGTAGATTCCTGGATTCTTCTGTGTAACGGTAAACAGTGGCGGTGGCACAATACCCTCTAAACACCCAAGAAGTCTGTGTATCATGAGATTTTAACATTGTGAGAGGATGTGGTTTGAAGCCCCATGTCATGGCTGTATCTGGCTAAAACCTGATATTTGCCCATCTAGGGTGGGAATGGCAGTTTGCACTCAGCGTGTAGCAATACAATGCAGTATAGTCCGCTTAGCATGCAGGTGCATAGCATGAGCCCTCCGTCTGCTGAGACACTAGCACCAGTTTCACATGACACTGGCTGGTGGTTTCCGTTGCTATGGAGACATTTCCTTCTTCCTGCATCAGAGCTGGTTGGTAATCTGAGTCAAGGTTATTCTCCTCGCTGTATTCTCCCAGACTGGGCAAGAATACGCCACCATCAGATAAAGTGACACACACATCACCAGCAGATACAATTATTCTTCACAGGGAGCTGTTGAGTAAAAATTTCCTCTCATTGTAAAAGCGTTTATATTGCAAAGTTTGGTATTTGCTATTTTTCACTGTGGGACTGTAATGAAATTTGAATCATTGCTGCGGTCACTATAGTCCCACCAGCTCTGACAGCGAAACATTTCAGGAATTCTCATCATTTTTTCAACATTGCCATTTGAGCGTGTTGTGTCTAAAAGGTGCTGTGAAGCTTATAATTGAAAAGTGATTTGGAAATGAAGTGCATTTCCACAGTGACTAATCTCTAAAAGGTTTGAGTCACACTTGACTTTTTTCCCTGATAAATGATGATCTTGTCATTTGTAGTTTTGTGCAATTACTCAGCTGTACAGATCACCCAAATTGATTTTCAAGTCCTCATTAAGTCTTTAAAGGTACCCTGTGGATTATTATCTCCACTAGTTGCGGGCCCTGTTTTGTTTACATCTTGCATGAGGATACACATACCAGCCACATGTGGGATACATGGCCACACTGTTCTGCAGCAAAGCGGTGAAAAGGATTGTGAGCTACCAAACAGAAATATGAACAAAGCTTCCATTAAAATAATGATTATGTAAAATTTGCTGAGGTGGGAATTGCATGCAAATTGTTTGTAAGGCTTCAGTGATTCAAAATTAAAATTGTGTTCATTACTTACAGTTTTAATTGAACTCATGTGATCAAATATTTAATCGTACAAAGTGACAAAGCATGTTATTTTTACTAAAGACCTAACTCACAAACGTTTATAGCATGTTTTCGCTCTGATTTTTATTTATTTATTTGGATTTTTTTTCTGAAAGCCAGACCGAACATACTGTATTTTTGGTGTTTCTTTCAGGATAATGTTCTGCCTGCTGCTTTTCTTTTGTCAGTTTTGTTCTCTTGCGTTGAACCAAATAAATGACGTAACAGCTTTTGCTTAGTTCATGGGGACTGGGAATGTTTGGGCAACAGGATAAGACGCCATCGTTAAATCCTCTGAAAAGAAGATCATATGACAGGGTTTTTATTGTTTAACATCAACAGATCACCTCCCCCCTGACCTCTGCTCACAGTTTCTTATGTGGACTTTCTGGCAGCTTCATTACTTTGTAACAGGGGTTTAGAGATTTGACTGTCCCTGCTTTGTCCTACAGGCCAATGGAAAAGGGTCGCTCTGGTGTGTTGACCCTGAGTACCGCCCCAACCTAATTCAAGCTCTTAAGAAGCAGCACTTCCCAGCCGCACATGCCTTCTGCACACCACCCGCCTCCCCACCCAGGTGAGCGGTCATCACTTTAATCATTCAGTTCAATTTGTTGCTTATGATGGTCAAGGGAATTATTATGTCTCAAATATATTTTGCAGGGATTTGTTTTGGACATAAAAGGAAATACCTGAACTTTATTTAGAGCAGGCTTGTATTAGCGATTGGCTTTCAGTATGATTAAAAAAAGTGAACTTGGTCACATACCAACTCCAATATGCTTCCATTAGCTCCTTTAGACTTACAGCAATACACTTAGTGTACCATGGTGAGTGATGACTCACCCGTGACAGGTAGGAGCACAACAGTTTGAAACTCTCTGTTGTTAGTTTAACAACAAGAAGAGCATTATTCTCCTCACACTCGGATGTATATCAAACCAGCTCCTCCCTATGGTCACAATGCCACAGCTTTGCTAAATGTAACTAACACATAAGACGAGCAATTGAACCGTAAACATAATGGGGAAAAACTGAGAACAATTCATTTAGACAGAAACATGATAATGCCCAGAAGCTTCTGCAAACCCAGAACTTCCCCAATACTCACGCTTCTGGGAAGCTACAGTACAAACACTTCATGTAACAGTTTCATATACACCACCATAGCATTTTAGTAGACAGAACCCATATCTTCTGCTTTTATTGTGAAACATGGAGGTGGAGGTATACCATAAGGAGCAGCCTTGATTTCTTTCTCCTGACTTTAAAATCCCTTTTTTTTAAGCTGAGGAAATATTTTATCTTAACAGGTTTGTAGTCATTTGTAATTATTTGATAACTAATTCTTAATAAAAACACAGTTTTGAAAGGGCAGAATTTGGCTCTTCAAACGTATCATCTGACTCTTGGTGTCCTTTGTTTACTTTCTGCAGTGCCTCCTCACCCCCTCGTCATCTCTTTATACAAGGTTGCTCATTTAAAGGTGAGAGAAAAGCAAATTGATCAAAGTTTTCGTATTTGTAAGCTGTTTGCCCAGCAATGTGCAGATGTGTAGTGCAGTTTTGTTAGCGTGTGTTTGTGCACTGTTTTGATTATGTTGCCTTTGCACATTTCAGTCCCAGAACATTCAGCATCACTGTGCTTTTATGCTCAGCTCTTGGTTTGATTTGTTGCTTTCAAGTCATTGATGCCTCATGTTGACCATAATGTTGACAGCTCCCGTCGATGTCTCTCCCCCCCCCCCCCCCCCCCTTGCCTCTTGGATTTGTAACCTTGACGACGAGCAGAGGTTCTGCTGGTGCTCAGTATCGAGCACTCAGTCTCACTGTAATCATTAATAATTTAGAGCCCTAGAAGTGAGCTGTGAGGCTTTCAGACACTTTGTCAGATCTCATGAGATCAGATGCATTCTGAAAATCATGGGCTTATATTTACTCTGATTTGTTTTTGCGAGTCCTCTGCATATCCCGTGCGTTCTGTAAGCACTGATTGGATCGCCGAGTGTATAGCTTAAAAATAATGGAGCCCAGTCGGTCAAGCCAGTCCTAGTAGGGATGTCATGCTACCATGCTTTCACACCGTAGGACTGACCATCGTGCATGTTCTCTCCTCTTCCAGAGTCTGACATTGATGCTGCCACTGCCATGATGCTCTTAAACTCTGCCCCTGGGCACCACGTTGACCCATGTAAGACAACCTACAAGTAGCCATACTTTCACCTCTTCTTTTAGCTTTGTGTCCAACCCCTGACATACCACCCGTCATTGCTTAAATTTTCTTTGATGTTGTGTGTGTTCAATTCTGATGTACACAGCTGCAAGAAGAAGTTTGAATGTCTTTGAATCATCAGAATATCTGCTTTGTCTAATGATAGACAATGTGTTTTGTTTTTTTTATCTTCATCTAAGCTGCAGTAATAGACAGACAAAATCTCACCAAACTAAAACCACACAAATAGTTGTAGTTCACACTTTACACACTTAGTAATGAAAAATTAGCAATGAAGCAAAATGGATTCATCCGTATCTCCAAGATGTCTTGATTGAAGGGCCCTCTTTAGGTCATGTCAGTGTGTTTCAGATGGGCTAAAGTTAGGAATCAAAAGGTAAAAACATTTGTATATAAAGAAAAGGTAGATGAAGAATAAGGGTTTTTGTTAAATTTTAAAAGGGCTTTCTGTAAAAATAAGTTCTGAGAAGTGATTTAAAATTGGATATACTGATTTTGGTAAGTTCCTCTGGTAAATAGTTCAACACTCTGAGAGGAAATCAGAAAATGACGCAGGCTATAGGGCGGGTTAGGAGGCTCTGACCTGAAGAGCATAACCAGCAGCTTGGTTCATAAAGTCTGTTGAAATCTGATGTAGGTAGGAGCAAGCCTGGGTAAGGCTTTAAAAGTAATGAATAAGTTTTTAAAATCAATTCAGTATCTAACAGGAAGCCAGTGCAGTGTAGCCAGGATAGGAGTGATGTAGTCTGGTCTCTTTGATTTTGTTAAGAATCTGGCAGCTGAATTTTGAACAAGCTGGGGGCGGGAGATGAACCTTTGGCTGAGACCCGAGTTGAGGGAATTACAGTAGTCTAAACACGATGAGATGGTGGCATGGATGACTTTTTCAAAGGCCGCTTGAGATGGAAACAAAAAAATGTGTAAACTTTTGTAAAGTTTCTTAATTGTAGAAAGCAGGATTTTGGTGATTTGTGAGTCAAAAGAAAACTTGCATTAGAACCAGGTTTTGAGTGGAATTCTTGAAGTTGTAGGGCAGATTTAAGTCGCTTTAATTCAAACTTTATATTTAAATAGCACCAAATCACAATGGTCATTTCAAGGCTCTTTATATTATAAGGTAAAGATCCTGCAATATTAAGAGAGCAGAGGGCACTAAGAAAGAGGGCCAGTGTTGAATAATTCAGAATGATTAAATGCAATAGTGGTGTACAAATGGGAAGTGAAGAAGAAACACATGGGAATCATGGGAAGCCCCCAGCTGCCCGGTTCTATTGCAGCATAACTATAGGTGGGCTAGGGTCACCTGATCCAACCCGAACTATAAGTTTTTTAAAAAAAAGAGAAAGTTTCAAGCCTGATCCTAAAAGTAGAGATGGTGTCTGTCTCCCAAACTGTCATAGGCTCTTTAGAAACTATAGCAAACGCAAGCAAGTCAGCAGTCTGAGAGCAAAGTGCTCTGTTAGGATCGTAAGGTACTAAGACGTCATTAAGATATAATCAGGTTTGATTATTCAAGATTTTAGATGTGAGTAGAAGGCTTTTAAATTAAATTCTGGATTTTACAGGTAATGACAGGGAACATAGTTCCTGTATTGTGACATCTATGATTTAACGTCAGAGAGACTTCTTAAGATTTGAGATTGTATTTATGTTGATACTTAGTAGAACAAACAACTGTGTATTATCTACATACATGACGGGGAAAACGCTTTATTTATGGATTACCTGACCCAATGGAAGCATGTAGATGGGGAATAAAAAAGGATCAAGAACAGACCCAGGGGAGGTGGGCTGAGGATGAGAATTCTTCCATTACAACAGAAAAAGGATCTGTTTAATAAATAGGAGTGAAACCTGGACATTACAGACTTCAACATACAACTGTTTGTGTTATTAGTTCATTGTTTGTCTATAACAAACAATGAACAAACTCAACTGAACCTCTAGCTCAGGCTTTTTTTTTTCTTTAAAATGTATAGCAAGACAGCTTTAGGAAGTGATTTTAGTGCTTGATCTTTCAACAGGGCAAAAAATACCATAACAAATAATTTCATGTATTTGTTAAGGTGTATTTATTGAAATCACAGTTAATTTTAAAATCTCTCGTTTAGATTTTGATTTATTTTCTCAATGCAAAGTTTATATTTCCTCTTGCAAAGGTTCCCACAGAATCATTAAATGTTTACTTTTTCTAAGTTTCTACGTCTTTTACGTCCCCCCCCACGAGTTTTAATTCTGCTTTCACATTCATGCAGCAAGCTATTTTAAAACTACGTTTTCACTGCTGGTCCTAGACAAATCTTAGTTCTGCTTTAAACTTGTAAACAAAACAAGTTAAAGCCCCCGAGTGTCTTAATGATGGTGTCACTTTTTTTTTTTTTCTTTCAGAAATCTTATTTCAAACCAGTCATTTATCTCTCTGTAACAAGACCTCCTCATGCACTGAACGGTCACTTATCAGGCTTTCATCCTCTCCTCAGGCAATTCTGACAGCCCTCTGGACCTCTCTCGGCCCGACTCTGTCTTGGTGAGCAGCGATCCAAAACAGGACCACAACTACAGCAGCGCAGCCCTGCAACGCTGCTCCTCTCGCTCCTCCTCATCTTCTCTTTCCTCCCTGGACGAAGGCGGCTGCGAACGTAGGCAGTCTCGCCGCGCCGGCAGCGAGGGTTTCCACAGCGACGAGGACTCCGACCTCTGGGACGAGAGGGGCGTTCACCAGACTTCTCGCCGTCCGCTCGCCGTCAAGTGGCCCCTTAGCAAGAGGGCGCGACGTGAAGTCAAGCCAGAGCTGGACGAGGAGCTGAAGGAGGCCGCCGGCTCCTTGCTGCACCTCGCCGGTATACGCAGCTGCACGGAGGGCTCCAAACGCACTGTCAAGAGCACAAAACTTAGCAGGAAATGAATTTTCTTTTACCCCCATAAGACCCTGGACCCAGTGAAACCCTAACCTCTGACCCCCTGTGTCCCAGTGTGCCTCCTTCTCCTAATCTGATCGTTCACTGGCCATTTTGAGCCTTTTTTCTTTTCCTTTTTTTTGGTTTGTTTGTTTGGGAGTATCTCTGTCCAACAAAACAAATGGCAATAGTATCGTTCACACAGGAGAACAAAGCCATATACATTAACTCGGGGGTAACTTTTGAGGGTGGGTGTTTGGGCTTATGGAGAACCATCAAGATACCTATCCAAAACGACCTGCCTGCTTTCTGTTGGATTAGAGGACTGTGATTCAAGAAGTTTCCTCTCAAAGACAAAAAGTGACACAAGAAGAAAAAAATAAATAAAACAAAAAAAAAGCTGAAAGCTGGTTTTATAACTCAAAGCGTTGCATGCTTCCTCTTCAAACCCGTATCCTCTTCCAAGTGAATCTATTTATGAAGCGAACGAGTGCATGTTTGTAACAGATGAAATCTAACCTCCTGGTGTTGACATTTTCTCCTTTTATTTTTCCTTTTTTGTTGGTTTTGTGCTAAAGGAAAAATAAATTACCACTGTTTGGAAAGGAGTTCCTGCTCTTGTAGAAGAAAAAAGAAAGAGATGCAATAATTAATCCTCAACCTTAACTTTCTGACATTATTCCATGGTGGCATATATCAGTCAAGTATGCTAGTTAAACTTTACAATTAAGCGAATGAACGGAGTAGTATTATGATCTTGTTATGCGATAAACTTACTACACGCGAGCCGCGTCTCGTTTTCAGGATTAGCAAAATGTGGATATAGTATTACTCTGCCACTGCCAAATTGAGTTGCAAAGTTAGCTAGGACTTTGCTTGATTTTGCGCGGTCATTGCAGCACAGCTGTTTTCTTTCGGTTTGTGTTTGTTCGTTTGTTTTCTTCCCAATCCACTGTTAATGGGACATCTTTTCTCATGTTTGGCGACAACCTATGCAAAGGGTACATCTGCCTTGTTTTGCCAGGTGTTCGCTGCGTGTTCATAGGTTATCCTCCATAAATTTTCTTTTTTGTGTGCACATACACATGTGCGTATCACAGTGCATGCTGACATCAGCTGGACCCTTGGATGACAGTCACGAGAAAGAGTTTAAAATTTTTTTTAATCCTTCTACTGACAAATACAATGAATATAATGTACTATCGTAATGACACATCTCCCTGCTACTGCTGTACTGTAAGAGCTGCTCGGTGCTCTGCTTGCTTTTGGGCTTTCTGAATGCAGAGTTGGCTAATAGTAAGGCGAGGGGGAAAACGGAGCGGATGGTAAATGACCGCCACGTCTCACGCCAATATTTGGATTTGCAGTTTGATTATATCTCTGGCCTTGTTTATGATACCTTGTACTTTAGATAATTACTAAGTTATACAGGTAATTTTGAGTTGGCTGATCTTGTGGCCAAGTTAATTCACATCTTGAAGGAAGGTGTGTGTGTGTTTTTTGTTTTGGGGTTTTTTTCTGTTCTGAGACCCACAGCATAGAGCATCCAAATGTAAATAACAAGAAGGGGGACAGTATAGTCACAAAGAAGTCAACTCTGTACACGCAGTTGCTCGCAGGCGAGATGCTGAAGACGCTTGTTTGTGCTCTGTGCTGTGCCCTCGGTTTTGGCTGGCTGCTAGTTTTTCGTCCTTGCTCTTCCTCCTAGAACAAAATAAGGAAGTGCACGTTCTCTTCTCAAGCTGTGAAATGGAGTGTTTATTGTCAGTTGATTGCACGCGGTTCTCTGAGGGGAAGTTGCGAGCCACTTGCATAGAAGGCCACAGTTTTCTGTTTTTTAAAAAACAAACAAACAAAAAAACCCAAATAGAAGCAGCGTACAGTCAACAGTAGCATAGATGAGTGATAGGATAACAAGCTGGAAAATGTATTCCCCCCCCCCCCCACTGTACTGGATCACATGGTGTGACTGGTAGTATAGTGTGCATGGTCGGTGCCAAACATTTTGTCGTGCCACTGATGCAAAACTGCAAACTGGCTGCTTTGTTTTTTTTTGTTAATATCTATAAACCCCTCCTACTGCCACACTGTAATTGTGATCTGGAGTTTTTGAATCAGGAAACGGGCGATGACTCTGGTCAGTACGGTGACATAACCAATCTTTTGGTTTACATTTGTCGCTATTGAGTGGGAACTGCTCTTTGCAGACTAAGCCGCAGTTCTCAGCTGATAACCGAGTGCATACACTGGTCTTGTTTAGCTGTGGGAAAAAAAAAAAAAAGAACAAATTGTTGTTCATTAATCATCACCTTATTTATGACTTTAATTTATGGGACTTTTTCCCCCGAACGCATCAGACACTGGTTATTTAAAATAAATGACTAGGCACAGTAATTTTTTTCCCTTCATTCTGTGAACTTCCTTTAATAAGTATTTTTGTTTTTCTCCTTGTTTATTTTCAGCAACACACCTTCCTCCCCCTCCCCCCCCCTTTTTTTTTCTGTCTTGTTACAGTGATTAAGTATTTTGCCAATGTCTGTTGTCTTTAGAGCGGGTGTGTTTTCAATTTAACCATGACTGCCAGGTTTTCTTGATGTTTTTGTTTTGCTTTTTGTTAGGTTGGATAGAAAACAGTTAATTAACATTGATCCTGAAACCTTTTTCTGTTGCCAAATCGATGTACAGCTGGGGTGTAGATAAATTTAAGATTGATGCACCCAATTCCCCCCCCCCCACACACACACACACACACACCACCCCATGCGCACCCCAAGTTCTTCTGGGCTCATTTAATCATATGGTTTTGTTTAGGTATTATGACTTAAGTAGTCAAAGAAACTGGAGATTAGCTGTAAGACTCTTTTATAAAAGTACTGCCACCCCATAACTCATGCTTCCAGGTTTTGTTATTGAATGTTTTTGAATATCACTGTAAAACTGGATCTGAGTTACTCAGTCTTCAAGCAGCTGCTGTGTAGTTTTCAGACCTACTCTTGAGTGTCGGGACAGCCGCAGAGAAGTTTTGGAGAGGCTAAAAAAAATCAGCCTCATCCTTTCTGTAGCACTTGAGAAATAAAAGAAATGTTTGTCTCAAGGTGACACCGAGCCAGTCGAGTCGATCTGTGGGTGAGCTACCAAAACATTTCTGGGTCCCAGGACTTGCACAATTCCAAACCCAGTTCCCTTATTGCTCAACAGCTGTTATAAAATATTAATTATGTGATTCTGTTGCATTTCCTAATTTCTTATGGGTGTGCTGAGCATTTTTTTTTCTTGCATTTGACAAAGCTGCCAACCCAGTATGAGTTTGTGTCAGTTGTCTGCCATGTCCATTGGACCGACACACCTTTTTGGTTTTTGTATGCTAACCTCTGTTGATAAAATGTTTATAAGATTTATTTTCGCCAAAGATATGCAATTGCATTATATATGGTATTACAAAAATATTAATAAAAACCTGTTCTTGTTTATTGCCGTGTGCATCTTTTGGTTTCTTTGTGGAAAATGGGGCTTGACTTGAGTGGGTTTTTTTGGTTGATTTTTTTTTTCTTTTTTTCCTTCTTTCTTTTTTTGTCTGTAAGAATTTTTTGGATCGATCTTGTCACCTGCTGCGAAAGCCACAAGATCAGCGATCCTTGACTCTGTGGTTCTCGGTTTTCACATAACAGTGCTACAGCTGGGAGATATTTCCCACCAAGTCCAGCAGTTTCTTTTGACTGCGCAGGCTTTGCTCAGCACTAAGTGTGGCAGCACCATGACACTTTCCCTTTCTGTCTTCTCCTTCATGTTTTTTTTTTTTCTTTTTTCTTTTTTTAAATGGCCGGCTGCCAGAAGTGCACCTCGCATTAATGTAAATTCCAGGGCTGCGCCAGTGATGGATGCGTCATCAGATGTGCTAACGACACTCTTTGCTGTAAGTTAATTAGTCATGGAGGACTGTGGGATGAACACAGTGTGACCCTGAACAAGGGCTTGTCTGACTAGCCTCAGGCCCACTGGCACAGCTCTATTGTTCAATAGAGTCCTGTGTGTCGATGGGGAAGGGGAGGGGATGGGGATATTGGAAGGAGGGGGGACTTCTCCCTACTGACTGCCTCAATTCAGCTGGAAATCAGAGCAGCATCACCTCCCCTTCCCCTCTCCCACACGCCCCTAGCAACCACGCCACGCCGACAGTTGCCAGGCAACCAGACAATGCTGGAGCCACTGGCTGTGGTGTGGTGTGGTGTACGTGTGAGAGAGTTTGTGTTTGTGGCCGTATACATACATTTAAGATCGCTGATGGTGGAGACGACGACAGAGGAAAATAAAGAAATAGTATGCGGCCGAAAATCTAAAAGAGATTATTATGGATTAGGTGAAATTAATCGTGTAGGATTTGCGCAATGATGGGTGCATTAGCAACATGTCATTTCACTTCTAGTCTAAATGAGGTCATGTGCGTTTTAAGGGGGGAAATCACATCCTTGACAGTGCTACAACCCACTTGTGATTTCTGACCTTGTTTCTGTTAATGCGACACACACGGAGCTGGGAAAAAACCAAAACAAAGCGAAACCGAGCAGTAAATAATTTATCACATCATTTTTATTGTAAATGGCATTAGGTCTCCTAATGGGAAAGCTAAGAGGAGAGGAAAGGATGTCTTAATAATGGAAAGTGTCTGTGTGTAGGCTACTGTAGGGAGAAAGGAAATGTATCCTATTGAAATAAATGATATTTAAAAAGAAAATACACTTAAATACACATTTGTACCCTTATAAATGAAAGCTTACAGTTATACACCATTCTGAATTTAATCATTAGTTATTATTAAACTCTGGCTCTCTTCCACAGCGTGTCTTTTGTCCTGTCTTCCTTCCATCACCCCAGCCAGTTGCTATACATGGCTGCCCCTCTACTGTTTCTGACCGAGGTCTCTTCCTGTTACAAGGGAGTTTTCGTTCTCACTGTCACCAACTGCTTCTTCATATGGGTTTGTCTGATTGTTGGGGATTTCTCTGTACATAAAGAGCTTTAAGACAATTGTTGCTGTGGTTTGGCACTATATAAGCAGAATTGAATTGAAGAGAAAGGTGGTTTAAACATACTACATCTACCTACCTACATGGGTGTAACAACCCTGTGCTAGCTCCAGGGCAGATATTTTTGCTATAAACTCACACCATCTTTCTCAACTAGACTACCACACACCCCAATCAGATTTAAACGGCTTGGTAAAGTAACATAACGACAACTCTGATGTATATAAGCACAGAACAAAGAAGACAAGCCCATTAGCCACAGGTCTTCACAAACTGATTGGATTGGGAGACTCATTTCTAGAATTCCTCATCATTTTCAGAGGACCAACTTCCAGACATGCCACACACACAGTATTATAGTAAGAGTATCTAATTTCAATGTTTGAGAAGTAACAATATTTTAGTCCTTTACAAAATACAGTTTCATCATTTGGGTTATGTGATCAGCTGCTGATAGCCAAAGAACTGGCAGTATGCTGATTCTGTTCTCTGTCTCCTTCCTCTTTCCAGCACCACTTTTTTTCACTTTGCTTGCTAAACATAATTTAAAAAGCTGCTGCACCAGCTAATTACTTTTTAAGACACCCAAAAAAACATGCTGATGCATTGTTGATGTCAACTGGTTCACAGTCATTTTGCGAGCTGACAGGAAGTAAGGTCAGGAAGTACAACTAATTCATTTGCCTGCATGCTCCTTCGTCATCAATACTTTTCACTATAGAAGTCTAGTTTAATCAATGGAGTGTGAAATGACTGAGAAAATCTTTGAAGAGCTATAATCAAATTAAAAGTCATTCAAATATATACTTCATAACAAAAAGAAAAGAAAAAATAACAATACAGTGTGCTACAATTTAAATGACAGTAAGTAAATGATATCTATCTATCTATCTATCTATCTATCTATCTATCTATCTATTTATCTATCTATCTATCTATCTATCTATCTATCTATCTATCTATCTATCTATCTATCTATTTCTTCAAACGCTAGGTGGCGCCCTGCTTTCTCCTTCTCCCTTCTTCTCTGTTTTCTGCACTTTGACCTCGGTGCTCGCCTCTCTTGTTGGCTCAGACTTCAGGAGGATTTTGCGGGTTAGCTAGAAAATGAAAGTATTCCTTCAAATGAATGGGGATTTAGGGCTGTTTTGCTAGCCGAGCAGCCGCTACCTTTACTCTCTAATAGGATTTGCGGACGCCGCGGGTCACCGGCTCCTGTCAGATAAAACCACATACATGTGTCGCTCCTCGTCGGGGTTTGTTTTGCTACATAGCCTCTTCGCTTCGCTTAGCTAACAGGCTCTGTCGGCGTTACTGGTGCTAACTTGAAAAAAAGGGGACATTACTGTTAGATCGGAATAAACACGTGTTTTGGGAAATGAACTGTTGACCACTGTCCGTTTTATTTTCCGGGACTGATGACAGACCTACTGTCATAATGTACCCGAGTTCAGTTCTCACAGGTAGCGGAAGAAGCCTTGTTGGATTAAGAAATTTTACCAGTGGGCTAACCGACCTGAGTTAGCCAGGTTACAGCTCACCGTCTCCGACGTCAACCTTGCAAGTAACTGACACCGTGAACTACATACTAAGCTAACCGGACAGCCTTTGGCCAGTCCGGCTACTGAGGATTAACGTTTCCTAGCATCACCGGTTGGCGACTAGATAGCGTCGCCATGGCTAACGTTACAGACCTGCAGACAAAATACAGCAAACTGGCACAGGAGTATTCAAAGGTAAAACACCGCCTCTGTTTACTGCTAACGATACCTGTTACCTGTTATTGCTAACAAGGCTACTACACAGAACCTGTCAGTGAGCTATCAGCGTCAGCTACCCGGTGTTTTGTGCCTTGCGTGAACTTGAACTCAATGGAAAACAACACCTGAGATATTTATGATTAGTGAAGCAGATCAGCTTGTCAAAGACATACACATAACTTAGACCATAGAACCTACTTTGTTGGGTATAGCAGAAGCTAATACAGTTCACCTGGAATAAGGTAGATTATCACAGATGTAGGCTAGCCGCCGAGGCTACACACACAGGTGTCATTATCAGCCTGTGTGTAGCTTTAATGCTTTGTTTGGTGCATTTTCCTTAGGCTGCGTGGGAAAATGTCTTGCATGCTGCATTAGAAATAAGCGGTGTTCAAAGGATGTAAACTATTGTTTAATGGTTAAACAGTTTAGAGACAGTAAAGCCTGTGTGGCCTTTGTTTCTGTGTCAGCTGACAGCTCCGGGAGCGTTATAGCTGTTTCCTGTTCCACTCTGCTCCTCCCCACCAGCAGCCAAACAGTGTATGATCCTCAGGAAATGCTGACTGTGTGATTGTTGCACAGACTCTTGCTGTAATAAGCATGTCTTTAGAGGCTACTGATCATACAGTAAAAAGCACTGAGTTCGGGTTTCTCCTGTATGGTCAGTACTCATAACTCATTACTTATAAATGTGGAAAAGTCACTCAGTAAGCAAACTTTTCTTGACTTGAACTTGAAGTATATTAAAAAAAGAACTGACACAAGCATGCCACAGTCTGACAGACAATACGTTTCTTCTTCATATTTATCTCAAACGTAATATTTTGGGCTTATAGAGAACGGTAAAAGTCACATGATTTATAACAGAAGGCAAAATGAGAGCAACACTAATGGATTCATCTCAATTTTCTTGTTTTTGGAGTCATTAGGAGGCAAAATTGCAGCGGAGACTATTATTTGATTACCTGCTCTGATCTTGTCTACATAGAATTGAATAAAAAATCAAAACTACACATAATTATTGAGCAGAGATTTGCCGTGTACTCTTTATTTTAAAATTGCATTTGCATCTCAAACAGCAGTTTGTACTTTTTACATCTGAATGGTTTTTTTCCTCTGTGTGTGTGTACTTCACAGCTACGTGCCCAGAACCAAGTGCTGAAGAAGGGGGTTGTGGATGAACAGGCCAACTCTGCCTCACTAAAGGTACAATGATGTATATTTAAAAAAGAAAGCAAAGTATTGAGAAAGCAAGCATTGAAATGACATTGTAAGCAATTCTGTTTTTCATATTTGCAAACCAAATGTGATCACCAAGTCTGACCTGTACTTGTTGCAGTGTTACCATGAATTATGTTGCTGTCGCACAATGACAACAGAATGACTTCATGTTGTTTTAAAGGCTGTGATTTGCTTGCATGTGTTATTCATCAAAGTCATTACTTTCTTTCTGCCATTAGGAGCAGCTGAAGCAGAGAGACCAGAGTCTGAGGAAGCAGGAGCAGGAGATGGACAGTCTCAGTTTCAGGAACCAGCAGCTGGCCAAGAGGGTGGAGCTGCTACAAGAGGAGCTGGCTGCTAGTGAAGCTAAGGGCAAAAAGGGGAAGGTGAACATGAGGGGAAAGGGGGAAATGCGGGAGTGGCTACACAGTGGACTAGCGGGAGCAGCATATATTTATTTATTTT